ATGGATATAATGAGGGTCCGGCCTCCTAGGGCTAGACTGTCCAGTCACCCTTCTGCTACTGCTGTGGGTTCCGCGCTGTCTTCCTGTCACTCCAGAGCTTGCGGTCGACTAGCCACTCTTTGACCTGGCAGGGAGGCTCATCGTCCTGCCTCCTGCTAGGAGTGACTAGTTGACTGTAAGCTCTAGAGCGATAGGAAGGGAGTGTGGAGCCTGTGGCGGCAGCAGCAGTAGAAACGTGAGTGGACAGTCTACCTGTGCCAGGGTATTCATATACGAATATATCCCCATCTTTAACCATGGGTAATTGAACTCTACCTGTGGTGTAGTCTCAAGGTTATGATCTGTGCAAAACAAGCTGTGGTTAAATGGACATTTTATAAAAACAAAAACCAACACAGATATTTGCATGGAGAGAGTTGGTGGTCAGTAGAGATTGCTTTTTCTTCTGGTTTCTCCTTTACAACATCTCAATTACTTTGCTGGATGAACAGCAGCTACTTGAACAAGTTCACAATTATGAGAACCAAGCAGGAAAACTGCTGATCATAGTAAAGGTTTCAAAGTCAAATTGGAAATATATGCAGAACACTTGATTCGTACTTAAACCACATTACAGCATTTGTATTAGAGTTAATTGATTAGTCTTTGCTTTTTTCCTTGCCACAAAAGCTGCTACCTAAGGGGATTTTTTTGGAAGGCTTAGTCAGCTGCCAGTGCACAGTACTGTATGTGACTTGGAAATGTAAAAGGTAGATTGTTTTAGCAGTTTTCAGCCTGCAAGCACTTCTGACATGAGGATTAATTAAGTTAGTAGATTAGATACTAAATAGGGGAACGGAGCAGATGAAGACAACTCATGAATCGTTTCAGCAAGGCCTGCCAAGACTTTGGACTAACAATCAGCCTGAAGAAAACACAAGTCATGGGCCAGGGTGTGGACTCACCTCCCTCTATTACCATCTCCACACAAGAATTGGAGGTTGTTCATGACTTTGTGTACCTTGGCTCAACCATCTCTGACACCCTCTCTCTAGATGTCGAGCTGGATAAACGCATTGGGAAAGCAGCCACCATGTTCTCTAGACTCACAAAGAGAGTATGGCTCAATAAGAAACTGACAAAACATATCAAGATCCAGGTCTATAGAGCCTGTGTCCTGAGCACACTCCTGTACTGCAGCGAGTCCTGGACCCTTTGTGCCCGGCAGGAGAGGAAGCTGAACACCTTCCATATGCGTTGCCTACGACGGATTTTTGGTTTCACCTGGCAGGACAGAGTTCCAAATAGAGTAGTCCTAGAACGAGCTGGAATTTTCAGCATGCATACATTACTGAAACAGCGACGTCTACGCTGGCTTGGGCACGTTGTGAGAATGGCTGATGGTCGGGTTCCAAAGGATCTCCTATATGGAGAATTAGTGCAGGGAAATCGCCCCAGAGGGAGACCACAGCTGCGATACAAGGATATCTGCAAGCGGGATCTGAAGGCCTTAGGAATAGACCTCAACAGATGGGAAACTCTGACATCTGATCGTTCAGCCTGGAGGCAGGCAGTACATCACGGCCTCTCCCAATTTGAAGAGACCCTTGTCCAGCAGGCCGAGGCAAAGAGGAAGTCACAAAGGAAGCAAAACCAGGGAGCTGGACAGGGGACAGATTGGATTTGTCTTCAGTGTGGAAGAGATTGTAACTCTCGAATTGGCCTCCTCAGCCACACCAGACGCTGTTCCAAGTCCTCCATACAGAGCACGCTACCATAGTCTTTCGAGACTGAAGGATGCCTACTAAGAAGATTAGATACTATGAGACAGAGAAAGAAGGAATGAATGCATTTTGAAAAGTCAAGAGAAGACTGTGAAAGTGTGAACCTTTGTGTCTTGCTCAGTGACTACTATTTTTCCTTACAAAACAAATTGTAATAGCGGTTATATAGGATTTGGATTCACTGGGCATGGGTATAGCCCTGTAAAGGATCATTTGCCCTCAGAAACAGATGTGTTGATCCAGATGGTTTCTTTATACATAGCTCTGAAGGATTTTTCTGGCTCCAGGGCTGGTAATTCTGTTAAAGGTTTGTTTGACCTCTGGAATGGATAAATGATTTGGCCAGAGAACGTGTTTGATTCTGAATGGCCTGTCTGCCCCAGTCCACGCAGTGTCCTGTACAGACACACACAGATGTAATGGAAGACCCCAGCTGGGTTAGACTAAAGACTAGTGGCCAACAAAATTTCTATGAGAGTCTCGTAAAAGAGAACAACACAAATTGGCTTCTCACAGTTGCTGTCTAGGAACTGCTATTCAAAGATATGTTCCTTCTGTTTTTGGAGGTACTGCATAGTCATCATGACTAGTAGCTGTAGATAACTTTATCCTCAGTAAATTTAATCTCCTTTTAATCATCACAACTAGCAGCTGTTGATAGTTTTGTCCTCCATGACCTTGTCTAATCTCCTTATTAAGCCAAATAAATGTAAATGGACGAATACTCTTTCATACATACGCTATGATTTGTGAGCTGTGACTGCAGGCTCTGTACAGTAGTTCCATGTCGAAGTTTGCATTGCCAGGAATGAATTGATGGTTGTTTTGCTGACCTAGCAACTATAGGTATGGATACATTACCCCAGGAGACTAAACCTGTTGGCCTCCATTCTGCAGGAGGACACATCTTTGTCCTTGGTTAATATGACCTTGCTAATCGAAGCTATATACTCTCAGGAAAAAAAAATACCATGCTACTGAGAAATGCTGTTAGAATACATTAAAAAGACAACACTGGGGTGGTATTATTGTTTCTGATCCTGGATTTTACAGTTTTTAAATATGCACGGTGCTTTAAAAGCCTTTGGGCAGAAAGTGACTTGCAATCCAAATACAGCATTTGCCTTTTTCAAACAGAGCTGCATGTTCAGATTCAAGTATAATAATTAAAGATCCAATGGTTGCTGCTTTTAAGATGGAGATGGGCAACCAGTGGCCCCAGGACTACATTATGCTCTCACGTGGTCACTGGCCTAGCTTTAAAAGCCTTCTATAAGAATCCAGTTCATACCTCTGACAAGAGTGATTTGTTTCTTTCCTGTGGTGGAGAAGACAATGGGATTGCATAGAGAAGAAGGGAGGCTTTTGCACCAACGTGTTCAGGCCTCCTCACTGCTGAGATGCAGCTCTCAGTAGATTGTTTTTGTAGGAATATGGTTCTCATCCCTGCAAATATTGTTAACTAATATTTTGGGGGAAGCAGATCTGGCCATTACCGCTTCCTATTTGAATGAAGAATTCACCAAACTGGACTTACCCTTTTCTCTGCTTGTTGGCAACAACTCATCACAACTGCGCAAAGTTTTCGCTTCCTTTTGTTTGTTTGTTTTTTTGCTGGAATGTGCTCTACCTATTTTTTGCATATAGGGTCTCAGATACGAAGTGAGAAGAAATACAAAGGGGAGTGATTAAGAACTCCCTTCCTCCTTCACTATACAATTCATTCACTTTGCATGCTCCTTTTTTTATAAATTATGATTCTAAGTTTGCATCTGACATAGAATAGCCTCTCTATGAAAGAAGCTAATATACTTAAAGAAGAATGTAGTTCATAGTTAATGCAAAAGCTACTTTCGGTGCTTAAATGTAATAATTTTTGAAGTATTTAAAAATGTGTGGAGGCTTTTAGTAATGAATAAATATTTAGATCTGGGGAGAGCTACTATGTTTTATGTTAATAATAAAATGATACATACCATAATTCAAGCTTTGTACACTGTAGAGATTTCACAGCAAAAATCTTATAATTGCTGAGAAAGAAAATGACTTAGTAACTTTTTTCTTATTAATCTAGACTCCTTGTTATTGTTATGTTCTGTCAAGTTGCCTTGAACTTACACTGGCCCTAGGAATGAATAACATCCAGTCATCAACAGCCTTGTTTGTTCCTGCGAACTCAAATCTGGACCTACTGGACTTACATAGAATCTGTAGACATATGTTTAGCCTCTCTCTCTCTCTCTGTCTCTCTCTCTTTTTGTCATATGAACAAATACACCTCTAGGCATGAAGGCAGCTGCTAGATAGCTCTGTGGTTTAGGTCTCTGGCTGAGGAGCCAAAGATTGGAAGTTTAATTCCCCACAGTGCCTCCTTGACACAGTGCTGGACTCAATGATCCATATGGTCCCTTCCAGCTCTGCAGTTCTAAGATTATTAACATTATGATGTATTAATCTGATTTTCCTTTACTTTTCTTTTATTTAAAATTATTTAATATTCTGCTTTTTGAATTGCAAGCTTCCTCAGGGCAATTTACAAAACCGAAAGGTGAGATGTATACCTATAGTAAACTAAACCAGCAGATTGATAAAGCCGTTCTAATGGCACATTGTTTTATGGCAAAAAAATCTAAAATACATGCCTGAATTGTTAGTAACTTGTTTAGAGCCAAGGAGTGAGGTCAGCTAGAATTCTAAATAAATCTAAAATATTTTTACAGAACTTGTTTTCTAACATATCTTAATCAATATTTTTGCTGGAGCATTGATTAAGCAAAAATCAACTTGGGAACTGTACCTTCTAAAGCACTACTGAAGGGTTGGTAGAACGGCAAAGTCGTACCTGCTAGGTAATTGTTTTTCCTTTTTATTCCTAAATATATTTAATTTTAATTATTTTTGACATGTATATGCTACCTCTCCTTGATAAATCATATCCATGGCAGCTTATCTGGCAAATTAACAACAATCACAATAAAATAAATGCCATTAAAAAGGTATTCCAGCTTTGTGTCAAAAATACAGATGAAAACCTTTAATCAATAGATGTTTCCCTTTAATGTATTTTTGTTGTTCTTATAAGAGGGAAAGGTTATGTTTCTCGTAATTTCTAGATTAGAGAAATGAAGACAGTATATAAAAATGTTTTTGTGATCTCAGACAGGCAAGTTGGGAATTTATCCAGTCTCAGAAACCCATTTCACAAATTTCTCTCCCCTTTCTTATTGTGTTAGCTTTCCGAAGATGTTGTGAACCGAATGAAGGAACCTTACCAACCTAAAAGGGATCAGCAATCGCCTTCCTTGTCTTCTCCACCCACATCACAACCTACAGAAGGGAAATCTAAGGCTTCTGCAGGTATTTCATGTCTTATTATTCATATTAGGCTTTTATTATAACTATATCTATAGCTATATATGAGAGATGGATGACTGCTTATATGCAGTGCATTTGCTTTAGTGCATGTTACATCTGTTAGATTAGTACGTGTACATGCAAAACCTCTGTAACATCACCTAGCTTATGAACATGATTGTCTCTAAATAAGTCTACTGATTTTACTTGGGCTTCTACAATTTTTTTCTGATAAAAACATCAGGTTTCCTGCCTTTTGTTAGTATAGGGATCTCCAACCTGGTATATATATTGTGTGTGAGTGTGTTCCTAAAAAATGGCTTTCAAGAGTTGTGTGTACATTTACCTGTTGTAAATGCCAGTTACAAGACATCATTTCACACATGGTAAAGTGGTGAGGTTAAGACAAGTAACTTGCCCAAGAAACTGGGCACAAGGCAAAAGTTGGATCACATACTAAACCATATAGTTCCCTTAAACCCACAAAAAAATACTAGTTTCCCAAAAGATGAGGCTCAAACAAAATCAGATAGACAAGACATGGGTAAATATTTTGCTGACTTTCCTTGTCCCCAAGTACCTCTGCACTGGCTTAGTACAATTATGCTGGCTTATATTGTTTTCCTAACCACCACCCTACTTTACCAAACTGTGCTGCTGCTGTTTCTTTTTTTAAAAGCAACAGGATTCCTAAATCAAAGGATTTGGCCCTTGCCACTGACTTAAAATTCGAAGAATGCCTCTCAACCCATTGTCATTGTAGCCTTAATACATCAGGACAGAATAACCTCATTGTGGCCCCTTTTGTCCTTATATTGAGAAGCCCTGGAATCTAAAATGTAGCTGGCCAAGAAGGCCTGTGTGAGGTAGGGGATCAAGTCATCCCGTGGGTATGGGCAAGTGGAATCCTAAGATGGTCAAAGCACCCCATGGTAGCCCCTTTTATCCTTATATTGAGAAGCCCTGGAACCTAAAATGTAGCTGGCCAAGAAGGCCTGTGTGAGGTAGGGGATCAAGTCATCCCGTGGGTATGGGCAAGTGGAATCCCAGGATGGTCAAAGCAAGCATCACCAGTAGAAGTCACCCTGAAACCAAGAACTGACCCTGTCCATGTTAAACAATGCCCATTGAAGCTTGAGACTAGAAAGAGCTTACACAAAGTCCTAGCTTCACTTTTGGAAGCGAAACTTATTGTCCCATGTAATTTTGAGTTTAGTACACCCATCACAGGGGGGCCAAAGAAAGAAGGGAAGTACTGCCTGGTCCAAGACCTCAAGAGTTGTCCCTTTTGGAAGCGAAACTTATTGTCCCATGTAATTTTCAGTTTAATATAGCCATCACAGGGGTGCCAAAGAAGGGAAGTAGTGCCTGGTCCAAGACATCAAGTGTGATCAATGCAGTCACCAAGGACATTACACCAGTAGTCCCCAACCTGTACACCTTAATTATAACTGATATCTGGAATACACGCCTAAGCGAAACTTATTGTCCCATGTAATTTTCAGTTTAATATAGCCATCACAGGGGTGCCAAAGAAGGGAAGTAGTGCCTGGTCCAAGACATCAAGTGTGATCAATGCAGTCACCAAGGACATTACACCAGTAGTCCCCAACCTGTACACCTTAATTATAACTGATATCTGGAATACACGCCTCCAAGGACATTACACCAGTAGTCCCCAACCCGTACACCTTAATTATACTGATACCCGGAACACACAACCCCTTCATGTGTTAAGACCTTAAGGATGCTTTCTTTACGATTCCACTAGCAGAATCCTCATGGCATGTTTTTGCCTGCACTTGAGAAGAACTCCAGGGATATTCTGGGGTTCCTTCTGGTTGCTATGGGTGGCTGGTATTGTCACAAGGATGGAAAAATTCACCATTATTTGGGGAGGCTTTGAGTAAAATTTTACGACTTTTGGTCCCAGCAGTGGAATGCCATATGCTCTATGTGGATGATCTTCTGTCAGCAGTGGACAGACCTACCTGCCTAAAGGCGACAGTAGATTTACTTAATTTCTTGAGATATGAGAGCTTCAAGGTGTCAAAGGAGAAAGCTCAAATAAGACTGGCATAAGTTACATATTTGGGATTTATCATCTCCCAAGGCGAGAGGCAGCTGAGTCATAATAGAAAGGAAACGGTCTGCCAGGTGCTGCTGCCCAACACGAAGCGAGAATGGCAAACTTTCTTGGGGAGGGTGGGATTTTGCAAATTGTGGATTCCAAATTTTATACTGGTACATCATTGGTTATATGGGAATATCAATAATTAAACCTATATTGATATCCATAGTATTGGTTATTATGGAAGGGCAACCTGTATACAATAGTTAAATCAAGGATTTTCAAGCTTATAGCTGAACAGGGAAACCTAGTGTTTCTGTTTCCTGACAGATATAATCCAAACTAGTAAATACCACTTCATAGTTTTGAGTTAGGGGAGAATTATTTACTATGACTCCGAACAGAGTTTGCAGAATAGTTTGATGAACACAACTATAATGATTTTTTAAAATAATGTTTGTTTTTTTAAATAGAAAGATAGTGGCAAGAGAGTGAACAGAGAAAGAGACATTGTATTTGGTATGGAGTGTGGGGAGAAACCAACAATACAGTGAAAGTTGTGAAGTAGACTGAGGTCCATGAAAGCTTATGCCAAATAAAATTTGTTATGCTTTAATATGCCGTGGACTCTGTCATACTTTTTATCCTGTTCTAGAGTGCTAGGAATATTGTGAAGTAGACTGAGGTCCATGAAAGCTTATGCGAAATAAAATTCGTTAGGCTTTAATATGCTGTGGACTCTGTCATACTTTTTATCCTCTCCTAGAGTGCTAGGAATACCTGCTCTGTATACCTTCAAGGGGCTGGTATAATATTCTATGCAGCATTTAGGGGAGAGTTGCTATTACAGCCAAAGTGTTCTTTATGACTGGTGTCATTTTAGAAGAAGTATGTGAGTGGCCTGCTTCTTGGTGCTTAGGAAACGTACCAGAAGTATCATGTAGTCCTGTGCATTCAGAAGTTCATGAACACATTCCATATGTTATCAGTAAGAAAGAATTAGAAAAATCCTGCTGGAGCTCAGCTGTTCCATTCTATATTTAATGGCTTATTGTGAGGAATGGTTTATTGTATGTCGTTTGTTTACTTAAGTCAGATGGTTCTTCATTTACTCTGTTGTGCCCAACTGTGCATTCTTGGCTTATCTGTCAGTTGTCCTTTTAGGATCCTTAATCTTATTGTTTTACAGGATCCAGAGTGATGTGTAGGTTAGTGAACCAGTTCTTTACTGCCAGAAACTAACATTATAGACTAAACAGAATGAGGTTAAAAAAAAAGAGGTTAGTGAACCAGTTCTTTACTGCCAGAGACTAACACTATAGACCAAAAAAGAAATAAAATATTACATTTAATTGCATTCTTATTTCTGGTTTTTCCAAACTTTCTAACTGCCTTTCTGTTGTAACAATGCACTCTACATAACACCCACGCACCTGAGGAATTTTTAACAGTCATGATTTATTCAGCCTTAATTGTTAGGTTTTATTGAAATCTGTGGTGATGCTAAGAGTATGGTGACACTAGTAGCAGGAACAAGCTGGGCCACTTGGGAATGGTTGGGCTTGATTCGAATGATTTAATCAAGCCTAATCGTTCACACTGAAATGGCTCCTGCAAATATTGTGAAGTAGCTTAATAAGTGAGCCACTTTAGCATATTGGCAAATTAATCACTTCCTTTGCTCGGCAGAGGGTAGAGGAAGTGATTTTTTTCTTACTGTGTGTAGGCTATCACTGATACATAATATCAGTTAAACATTTTAAAAAATATATTTTCTTTGTTTCACCTTAAAGGACCAGTCGAGAAACTGTCCATAGTCGAATCCATGGCAGTGGTTTCAGCTGTAGGCAGTTTTTAATTTTTTTAAAAAAATAATCTGATTCAACACATCAGCAAGAGCCCATATTGTCAGAAAATTGTTTTCACTTCCCCTACCCTCTGCTGAACAGAGGAAACGATTAATTTGCCAATATCCTGATGGATATTGGCCACTTCACCATATTGCCTAATTGAAAGAGGAAGGCTTCCTTTGGATTGATTCTAGTGATTGCTCTGAAAATGTTCCAAGTCAGAGCAATCCGAGCAGCACCAGAAAAGAAGTAGCCTCTTGACCGGAGCCAAAAAGTTGTGGTCAGATGGGTGTTCTCTAGGAAAAACAATATTTTCTCATTGTGTTTAAGAACTCACCAGTCCATCCCTCGAGCATTCCAAACTTGCTAAACAATCTGTGTAGTTAGCATCAATGTTTTACGTGTGTGTGTGTGTGTATTTATTTATATTTCTATCTAATTTAGCTTAGCAATTTGCTGAGATTTTGCTTCTCTACAATTTCATACCACTTTAATTCTCATTAAGGGAAGTGATGCATAGTATATCTTTCTGAGTTATTATTTTCTTCCCATTTCTTCAGAGATCCATCCACCGACAGCAGACAGCTTGGGTCAGAAGCCCTCTGAAGCTGAAGAGGATTTGTACAGGAGGTGGGATATTCTTGTATTGTAGGATTGCCCTCCAGATTGCTCTGTTTTGGAGACAATGTGCTACTGTTTCATGGTGAATGACACAGTGGCCACAATCCTGTCAAATTGTTGCTATGAAAAGCATGACATTTGTTGGTTTTGTATTGCCATATGCTTTAGGACAACAAAAATAATTCTCATTCCATGTACTATTGACTACCAAACTAATTTTTATTGTATTTATTTTAAAATATTTTTACTATGCCTTTCTCCTTTAAAAAAGATGTAAGGCATCTTTTAAGTCAATAAAATACAGTATTTAAAGCTACTAATGGTGATTATACAAATACAAAAAGGATCAAATAAATAACATACTAAAAAAACAAGCAATACCAAAACACATTCAAAGCAGTAAGCATAAACCTCACCAAGGCAGTCAGTCACTCAGGGAAAACTTGCCTGATCACATTCAAAGCAGTAAGCATAAACCTCACTTAGGCAGTCAGTCACTCAGGGAAAACGTGCCTGATGAGAATGGTCTTCGCTTGCTTGCAGAAGGACAGTAAAGAAGGGAAGCCTAGCTTCCTGTGGGAGGGAGTTCCAAAGTCTGGGAGCAGCAACAGAAAGGGCCCTCTCCTCTGTCCCTACCAAATGCACCTGTGAAAGGGACAGGAACAAGAGAAAGGCCTCTTTCTGATTATCTTAATACTCAAGCAGACTCATAAATGGAGATGTGGTCCTTGAGATGGCCCCAAACCACTTAGGGCTTTATAGGTTAGAACCAGCACTTTGAATTCAGCCTGGAAAGAGATTGGTAGCAAGTGGAGCTGGTGTAATAGGGAGAATATGTGATCCCTGTATAATAGGGAGAATATGTGATCCCTGTAACCAGCCCCAGTTAACAATCTGCATTTTGGACCACTGGAGTTTCCTGACATTTTCCGTAGGCATCTCCATGTAGAGTGTGTTACAGTCATCCATCCAGAGACCTCTCCTGGAGTGGGTTCAGCTGGGTTACTAGTTTTAATTGTGCAAAGGCATTTCTAGCCACCGTGGAATGGGTTCAGCTGGGTTACTAGTTTTAATTGTACAAAGGCATTTCTAGCCACCATGGAATCCTGGGTATCCAAGCTTAGAAATTATTCCAGGAGCACCTCCAAGCTGCGCGACAGTGTTTTCAGAGGGAGCGTAATTCCATCTAGCATACAGGCTATATCCCTCTTCACTCATCTGCCTTTTAACTGACCAGGACACCTCTGTCATGTTAGCTTATTCATCTCATCTAGATACTGATCTAGAACTAAGCCACCATGGAATCCTGGGTATCCAAGCTTAGAAATTATTCCAGGAGCACCTCCAAGCTGCGCGACAGTGTTTTCAGAGGGAGCGTAATTCCATCTAGCATACAGGCTATATCCCTCTTCACTCATCTGCCTTTTAACTGACCAGGACACCTCTGTCATGTTAGCTTATTCATCTCATCTAGATACTGATCTAGAGCTAGAACAGCTTCCTCAGATTTACATGGCAAGGAGGGATAGAGTTGGGTTTATATAATCTATAGTATGATTAACTACATCCTTGGAGGATGATTGAAAAATTTAGTATTAAAATAATAGGTTATTTTGGGTTTTTCATTGCAAAATGAAAACTGTATTAAAGCCTGTTATACTCCAGAGATAGCAATAATGACTTGATGCCCTAACCTGTTGATTGTTCCTGATAGGCCTTTTCCTGTTAATGATGAAAAGCAAATGAGCCACATTTTATTTTGGGATCCTTTAGTAAAACAATAGTTGATTCCTTTTCTCCTGCAGGTATGAACAAGAACAAGCAATGGTCCAAGAGGAGCTTCTCCGATTGGCCAGAAGGGAGCGGGAGGCAGCCAATGAGAGTCTGAATGTGACCCTGCAGCGGGAGAGGAATAGAACCAATGAGGAAAAGCAGAAAACAGCTCAGCTGGTGAGTACCACAAAACCAAACTGCACTGTATTCCTTCTTTTCTTGTCCCACCTTGGAGCATGATTTGTTAAAAGGCATTTTGCTTACATAATTCCATTACAGCAATTCATTTTCTGATCTTGTTTTCTCTGTTCCTGCCTTGCTGGCCTCTTTGAATGCAGATGACATAAAATGAATTATATGCCAAGTTTAATCACTCCTGCTGGCATGGTTAAGGTAGAGTTTCCTGCCATGGCAGTCTGTATGGAGGTAGTTCAGTTTTGAACCTGTGGTTTTTAATTTTCTAATGTGATCACTACAGTACAAATCAGTTACTTTTAGTTTTTTGTTTTGTTTTATACCATGTTGTGGTAGAGTCTACATGTGGTAGTTGGTTATGTGGACTAAGTTTTAACATAGTTTGTCACTGGCGGAAGAAGTGAGCAGATCCTTCTAGAAAAGCTTAAAAGATTGAACTGTTCAGCTACTGTATATCATTTCTTTTCTACAGTTGGATGGAAAACTGAAGGAGAAACATTTTCAAAATTTGAAAACTGGCCCCAAAGTGGCAGTCAATTGCCTTAGGATAGGTTTCTCAGTAGGTCTGTTGCCTGATTGAAAGAATCTTACAATCACAGTCCTGTCCATATCTACTTATAGTCTCATCCATATTTGCTTAGTTGCATTCAATTCAGTTGGAGCTAATCCTAGATAAATTATTACAGGATTAAAGTCTAAATTGAGTGCATGTGTTCTGATAGATCATTAACATATTTTTCTTTAGGAAATGCATTCTTTGCCTTTAGGTTATCATGCATATTATCTAAATAAAAAGCATTTCACCTTTCTACATAAAAGCATTTCACCTTTGACACAGGAAACAATTCATGTTTATTTCCTGTTTGTATTTAGCACCTGCAGATAATATTAGTGATATGGATTAAAAATAATAAAAATTGAGAACTGCCACTTGTTTCATTGTAGCCATTTTTTTGGTGGTCAGGAATAGAGATAGGGATATTTATTTATTTTATTTTATTTTATTTATACCCTGCCTATCTGGTCATTGTGACCACTCTGGTCATTGCGACCATTCGTTTATGAATATTTGTATTCATAAACAAATATGAATATCCCCGTCCCAGCTGGACTTAATGAAGGTCCGGCCCCTGGGACCAGCCCACCCACCCACATGTCCCAGCACCGTAAAAAGTCCCACCCTTCCTGCCAGTGGCGCCAGGAGCTCTGCTGTTTCTCTGCTGTTCGGCTGGTCACTCCTGGCACCATTGGTGGGAAGAGTGGGACCTTCGTGGCGCCAGGACGCTTGAGTGGATGGTCTGGTCCGGAGGGCCGGACCCTTATTACGTCCAGCTGGGACAGGGATATTTATATTCATTTACGAATGCGAATATCTCCATCTCTAATCAGGAATGTTGTAAAATCAACAATTAAACTTTTTAGTCTTACTTTACAGCTCCTTCCTGATGTATACTGTATATACTTTTTTAGAAAGGACTTTGAAAGTGGCAGAAATCATACTTTTTTTCTTGTCACCTTGGCAAATGGTTCTGTCAAAGTCTTGGTGTTTTTTGGAATGGGAAAATTGCCAGGATGGAGGAAGTGATCACTCTTTATCATCCCAAGGCAAAGAGTGGGAATGGTTTACTGTGGAGTTGGCAGTGAATGAATGACTTGGATGGGCCACAGCCCATTGAAAGGCCTACTCCATGGTAGTGACTGTAGTAAAGAAATTGTCTGTCACCCTTCTGTCTGCCTGCACAGAGGGGTCTGGCAGATCTATCGTGAGTAGTCAAGTGCCTTGTGGCACAGTGGTTAAACTGCTGTACTGCAGCCAAAACTCTGCTCACAGCCCAGATTCAATCCCAGGTGGTCGGCTCGAGATGCACTCTGAATACCCAACATGCTGGGCGGGGAGGGGGGGAATGTGTAGCCTGTATAATTAAATCGTAAACAGCCCAGAAAGTACTTTAAGCACTAAGGGTCAGTATATAAACTGCATACTTGTTTTGCTTTGTTATGTGCCATCTGTTTCCGGATGAGACGGATTATCTACATTTCAATCTGGCTTCAGGCCTGCTCATTTGATACAGACTTTGGTAGTTACGGTGGAAAATCTATACCAGAAACTGGACAGGAGAATGTTCCTTGGTGGTTCTGCTGGACCTCTTGGTAGCTTTGCATAGTGTCCTAGTGAGTTGCCTCTCTGAGATACAACTTGAAGGCATTGTGGCTCCAGTCCTTCCTGGAGGAGCAACCTCGAGGTGGTGCTGGATGCCTCTCTTAGTGTGTGATATTCCTCAGGGTTTTGTTCTGTCCCCCATGCTGTGTAACATTTGCCTGAAATTGCATGGGGAGATTGCTTGGAGTTTTGGGATTCAGCGCTATCAGGACACTGATGACAGCCCCCTCTATCTCTGGCCCTCTTTTCTATCTAAGTGCAAGAAAACTATTCCTATTCCAAATTAGTACGTCATGTCAATAATGGACTGGATGAGGGCAAACTAATTGCAACATAATTCAGATAAGATAGAGATGTTTTGTGTAGCTGAAAGGCACATCAAGGAATAGACATTCAGTGTGTCATAGAGTTGGTTCCTAGGTATGCTTAAGCAACCAAGGAGTGTTCCTCTTGTTGGGAAAATGTTTTATAAAAAATAATGAGAAGAGAGTTCAAGAGGAAGTGATGTATACCTGCATTTGAAAAAGTTGTGAGAACAGCTGAACTATAGATACCAGTAATATCCATGTTTTCCTCGGAGGGAGATGAATTTCTAAATCCTGCCTGTGTTAATGTTGCATAGGATTTAGAGGTGCAGCAAACATAACAATATCAGAATTCACCTTCATTGATTAAATAGAGGTTTTGGAAATCAGGAAATAGTTTGTTAAGAAGCCACAAAGAAATTAGGCCTTATGGTAATGTACACTTTGACATGTTGCTAAAGAACCTAAGTATCAGAAACTGAGTTGTGGGTCCAGAATAAAAGGATCAGCAAGCCCAACAGTTAAGTGATTGGGAGTAGTAGAATATTCTCCTGAGGAATTTTCAAAAATTCTTCTTAAAAATGTGCATATACCTTCCAGCTCATGATGCTGAAGACCAGGGTTTTTCACACTTAAGCCATATATTTCTATGATTCCAAACATAAACACTTTCAGAATTTTGTTATTTAGTACTTGCTAGTGTGTAGTAACAATAATAAGAGCAAGTTTGCTTTATCAGTCATTCTACCTATTGAAAACTGCAACTGCATACTGAGACAATATATATAAAGCATTTTCCGTACACAAAAGCTCTCTATATAAATAAATAGTACTTTTGATTATTCAAAATACTTTATATATGATGTCTCTGTATGCAGTTGCAGTTTTCAGTAAGGGAGATTAAATAAGCAGTGCTGGTAGTAAGAAAGCAGTACTTACTGTATTAATGTAGGCATCATTGGCATGAATGTAAGACACATGTTAGAATTTAATACAGTATTTAAACTCTGTAAGACAGAGAAATTGCTGTTTCATTTTTTAATAAATTGTCACATGTATGGATGGTGTTATGTACACAAATAGCGAAGATGGACAGTGAAATTTATACTTAATGCAATAGATCTGGACTCTTCAGAAGTAGATAGCGAGCTCATTCCTCTCCCAGGTAACCTACAGAACCTAATCCATGCAGACGTGGAGGCTAGAAAGTGAAACCATTGGCTTGCCAATGTTGGGATGTATGTTAACTTAATCTGTATTAACCAGAGCATTAACTGTAATCTAAACTGACTAATATGGCTTTAGTAATCCTCCTACTTGATGATTTGTAATACATATCAAATGGATTTTAACTTGACTCAGAAAGAAAAAAATCTACATTCAAATATTTAAAATCCTTATTAAACAGCGTTCATTAAGTGCTTCTTTGTTTTGGAACTCATGGAAGTGACATTAAAGTTAATGAAATCTTGATGCATACAGTGTTCAGACATACTGATGTGACATTAAAGTTAATGAAATCTTGATGCAGTGTTCAGACATACTGATACTAATGTTGTTCAGACCTCGTTCTAACATTCCAGTTATTTGTTAAACTGATAGATATGACTGAGTGCTGACCATAGCTGTTAAGAAAAATGGCTTTTCAGGTTATTATGGGACATATGTTACTACTCTGGTGTTCAGTCGCACAGTTTTTGCAGATGTTTACAGCAATTCAGACTAGCTGTTAAGAAAAATGGCTTTTCAGGTTGTTATGGGACATATGTTACTAGTGACACCAGGCCCCCGAAGAGACTGGAGCCTCAGCCTAGTGTCACTACTCTGGTGTTCAGTCACACTGGTTTTGCAGAAGTTTACAGCAATTCATTGCAACCTATAGACATTGTAGGATGGGCAGAGATACAATACACATTTTGACATAGCTGTCATGGCATGCTTCTCTAAAATTTGTATCTGCCTTCCATCCCAAGACACAGGTTTTTCATGCTTAAGTCATTTGATTCCAGATATTCAGAATTTTGTGATAGCATGTTTTTCCTCCTGCTTTTTACTGCCTGAATGCTATTTGGACCCTAGAATGAGTGCATTGTATCCCACGGGAAAGTCTGCATGTGACCTGTGGTCTGTACTTCACTCACCCTTGTGTTAAATGAAGGGTTGGGCACCTTGGGAATAATTTTTAAAAATAAATTACGCATCTAAGGACTTGAGAGGAGTGCTTTCAAGTCTTGGTCTGACTGTCCTCTCTCTCTCACTTTCCAGAATTACTGCTCCAAAGAACTGTTTGTAATGTGCTCTAAAACATCTTTAGAATTACGTGGATCTAATTGTTGTTGATTCTAATTAAGAGAAGATTATTCATCTCTTCTGAAGCTTTATGAAATTTTCAGGATGTTATTGTTGAATCTGTACTAGTGCCATAGTAGTAGGTATGCCATAATAATAGTAGATATGTTTTCTTTGTCTCTTACTCTGAGAAGAGGTAGATTCTACTCACAAAAGGAGTTTGGGAG